ATTCCCCCCACAAAGAGATGAGTTGTTGTTGTTGTTAAGTGCCGTCGAGTCGGTTCCGACCCATAGCGACCCTGTACAGGGTTTCCGAGGGTGTAAATCCTTACGGGAAAGCCTGGATCTCTTCAATTCTTAAGGAGCCCTGGTGGTGCTGTGGGATAAACATTGGGCTGCTAACTGCAAGGTCAGTAGTTCAAACCTCCCAGCTGCTCCATGGGAGAACGATGAGGCTATCTGCTAAGGTACAGACATACAGTCTTGGAAGCCCTATGTAGAGTCACTGTGAGTAGGAGCAGACTGGAGGAGTTTCTTAGCCGCTTAGAGCAGCATCAGTGGCAGGAAGGAGGGGACACTGGGATAAGAGGATTTTTCTAGAAAATGCTAGCATCTGTGATATTCCAACGTGCTGTCAAGCTTCCTGAGAACAGCAGTTCTCCAGGGCATGTTCTGAGCGAGGACAAACGGGGCACACTGAGTGGGCACCTTGAGCTCATCTGCCCACATCAGGAGGGCCAGGCACGTTGCTGTTCCAACAGTGCACAAAGCAGGTTAATTACAGAACACGTCAGTGGGAAACCCCATGTTTCCTACTCTGATAGAATAGGATCAACTCTCCAAAGCATGAGAACAAAAACTTTTCCACTTCCCTCAACGAAACAGTTTCTGTCTCCTTTTCATAGTGCCACCCAAAGGAAAAATCCATTTAGCTCCGATCCGGTACGTGCATCATGGCTCAAGTAGAATCAGATTTGGTATTTTGTTATGTATTGATCTGTGTCGCACTCCCGTGAGCTATCTGTTCCTTAGGTCTGCTATGTATAAATAACTAAATTTTAATAAAGTAATTCCCATGTTCCAAGTACATAGTAATATGTTTGGTTGTAATTATTGATTGGTTCAGCCATCTCAGGGCATCTTTGAAGATGGCATTTAAAATATATGCACAGAAAGTTTTTTGCCCTGGACGTGTGCCTGTTACGCAGTAGCATCTAATTACTGCATAACAAACGGCCCAAAAAGCAAAATTGGATATAATCTTCAAAACAGCTGAAGCAACCAGAATGCAAAGAGTTGGTTGAGTCATTTCAGCCCTTGAGCAGTCTCAGCTGAGAAATAATCCATTATTTCTCAAAATGGCAGAGATAGTTTTTTGCCACAAATTCAAAGCCCTAATTTTTAGTTGGCGGATCATGTTTCAAAAAAAAAAAAATTAGTTGATAATTAAATTCCATTCACAAAATGTTTTACTTACTGCTTTAAAATTATCGTAGGATCTACACGGATAAGCAATAAATGCATCAGGGTTGAGAATGCTTTCAGCATAGAAGCGATGACTCCGGGCATGGTTACAGTCAAGGGAGAAATATGCTTCTGCGAAAAACAATTGCCAATTAACTGACAGCAACTGACTGAGATCAGAGAGTGTGAACCATTTCTTAGAGGGACTTCAAATAGCAGTTTGTAGACTTGGAGGGCTTAGACAGTCAGAGCTTGTGCGCAGGCTTCCATATTGCACAACACTCACCAGCATTTTCATTTCATTAACTTTGCACTAAAATATTCTTTGTGTGAATCTCAAGGGGCCCTGGGGTCCTGGTGTGGCACTGTAGGATTAGCACTCGACTTCAAGGTCAGTTTTAAAATCACAAGATTGGCAGTTCAAACTCACTACCTGCTCCTCGGAAACCCTACTCAGGGTAGCTAAGAGTCAGAACCGACTTACCAACACTTAACAACAACAACAAAAGGGGCAAAGAAATGAAAGCCAGTGTAGAGGACTTTGTCCTCTGAAACTAATGTCCACAAGGTCTTCCCAGATCTCTGCCCAAAGAATGCCAATGTACATAGCATCTCCACCCTGGACCAATGAATTCTGTCTCCTCTTTTCTGCACCAACGACTAAATTTCCTTCTATTCAATCACAAAACTTTAATCCGTAGATAGCGCTGAGCTTAGAGATGAAGGAGTTGGGGGTATTAGAGAGAATGCTGATAGCACATAACTTTTGTCCTCAGATATCATTGCATCTAATAAAGGATTGTAGGAGCTCTGGTAGCGTAGTGGTTACGAATCGGGCTGCGAACCTTAAGGTCAGCAGTTCGAAACTACCAGCTGCTCCGTGGGAGAAAGATGAGGCTTTCTACTCCCGTAAAGATTTACACCCTCGGAAACCCTGTACAGGGTCGCTATGGGTCGGACCCGACTCGATGGCACTTAACAACAACAACAACAACAATAAAGGATTGTAATGATTAGTACAGATCTAAACACACCTGGGCCATCTGATGTCACCACAGCATTCTAGTCATCTCTGCTTCCCTTCCCTTGTTTAAGCAACATTTTTATGGTACCATCCTTCTGAGCTACTTGATCTTTAAGAAACTCAATCTGGGACCAAATCTAGTTTTATCAAGTAATCTGTGTAAGTCACTGGAAAGACAGCCCATGTGGTAGATCGTTATACCAGAATAATAGGCCTTTACCATTGCCTAGGGAATGCGTTCGCTCTACAGGATAAGCACTTGCTGGGAACCACAAGGTTGGCAGTTCGAGCCCACCAACTGCTTCCTGGGAGAAAAATGAGAATTTCTGCTCTCGCAAAGATTTATAGCCTCAGAAACCGTATACAGGGTCTCTGTCATTCAGAGCTGACTTGACGGCACTTCACAACAACAACTCTTGCATGATGCCATGACACCATTCCCCCCACAAAGAGATGAGTTGTTGTTGTTGTTTTTTCACTCCCCAGGAATATAACTTCTCTCATGGTTACTCTGACCAGTAGAGGGTGGAGGAATTGACCTGATTAGATTGTAGAGCACCCATCTTCAGATAACTTGCCTCTTTCGCTTTTGCTCTTTTGGAATACAGCCACTATGTAAAGCAATTCAGGCTCTCTGGCTGGGGATTGAACCCTGAAGATAACAGACTAAGTAGGGAGAGAGGCCACTTGGAGGACAATTAGTACCCAGGTCCCAGACATGTGACAAGGCCACCTTGGGCCTCCCCACCTAGCCCTGCCTGAGCAGGATGCAGTCACATGAGTCATCCCAGCTGACATCACCCAGAACAGTGTCTGCTGAGCCCCGCCTGAGTCCGGCCCCACAGAACCGTGAGCAGCACATTGAGTACAAGTGACCAAGGAGACAGTGGAGTCTCAGGAATGCACACAGTCAGCACAGCTCGATGCTGGGCTCTTTATTAAAAAAGAAAACGAAAGAAAGAAAGAAAAGAAATATTTCTGTTATATCAGGTCATTAACTATACAGGTTTATATTCACAGTGAATTATGATTTAGATAAGATGGTTCATTAGAATATGGAGAACTATGGATTTTTGGAAGGAAATAGTTTCTTAGTAACAAATATAATGTAAAATAGAATATTGTAAAGTCTTTGAACTCATCAAAAGACATAACATGAATGATAAACATTCTTTTAATCTAATGAAGTTATAGGGTATCTTATAATGTTTCAAAGTGATTTGTTGTTGTTAGGTGCCGACTCATATCAAGTCGGTACCGACTCATAGAGACCCTACGCACA